AAAAGAAAAGAGAAATGACCCAAATAAATAAAATCATGAATGAAAGAGGAGAGATCACAACCAACACCAAAGAAATACAAACAATTCTAAGAACATATTATGAGAGCAACTATAAGCCAGCAAATTAGATAATCTGGAAGAAACGGATGCATTCCTAGAGATGTATCAACTACCAAAACTGAACCAGGAAGAAATAGAAAACCTGAACAGACCTATAACCACTAAGGAAATTGAAGCAGTCATCAAAAATCTCCCAACAAACAAAAGCCCAGGGCCAGATGGCTTCCCAGGGGAATTCTACCAAACTTTTAAAGAAGAATTAATAACTATTCTTCTGAAACTGTTCCAAAAAATAGAAATGGAAGGAAAGCTTCCAAACTCATTTTATGAGGCAGCATTACCTTGATCCCCAAACCAGAGAAAGACCCCATCAAAAAGGAGAACTACAGACCAATATCCCTGATGAACATGGATGCAAAAATTCTCACCAAAATACTAGCCAATAGGATCCAACAGTACATTAAAAGGATTATTCACCACGACCAAGTGGGATTTAATCCTGGGCTGCAAGGTTGGTTCAACATCCGCAAATCAATGAGTTACAATACATTAATAAAAGAAAGAACCAGAACCATATGATCCTCTCAATAGATGCAGAAAAAGCATTTGACCTAAGTACAACATCCATTCTTGATCAAAACTCTTCAGAGTGTAGGGATAGAGGATACATACCTCAGTATCATAAAAGCCATCTATGAAAAACCCAGAGCGAATATCATTCTCAATGGAGAAAAACTGAGAGCTTTTCCCCTAAGGTCAGGAACGCGGCAGGGATGTCCACTATCACCACTGCTATTCAATATAGTACTAGAAGTCCTGGCCTCAGCCATCAGACAACAAAAAGAAATAAAAGGCATCCGAATCAGCCATGAAGAAGTCAAACTCTCACTCTTTGCAGATGATATACTTTATGTGGAAAACCCCAAAGACTCCACCCCAAAACTGCTAGAACTCATACAGGAATTCAGTAAAGTGGTAGGATATAAAATCAATGCACAGAAGTCAGCGGCATTACTATACACCAACAAGAAGACAGAAGAAAGAGAAATTAAGAAGTCGATCCCATTTACAATTGCATCCAAAACCATAAGATACCTAGGAATAAATCTAACCAAAGTGGCAAAGAATCTGTACTCAGAAAACTATAGAATACTCATGAAGGAAATTGAGGAGGACACAAAGAAATGGAAAAACTTTCCATGTTCATGGATTGGAAGAACAAATATTGTGAAGATGTCAATGCTACCTAGAGCAATCTACACATTCAATGCAATCCCTATCAAAATATCATCAACTTTTTCCAAAGAAATGGAACAAATAATCCTAAAATTTGTATGGAACAGAAAAGACCCCGAGTTGTTAGAGGAATGTTGAAAAAGAAAAGCAACGCTGGTGGCATCACAATTCCGGACTTCAGGCTCTATTAGAAAGCTATAATCATCAAGGTAGTATGGTGTTGGTACAAAAACAGATACATAGATCAATGGAACAGAAGAGAGAGCCCAGAAATGGACTTTCAACTTTATGGTCAACTAGTCTTCAACAAAGCAGGAAAGAATATCCAATGGAGAAAGACAGTCTCTTCAACAAATAGTGTTGGGAAAATTGGACAGCTACATGCAGATGAATGAAACCGGACCATTTCCTTACACCACACACAAAGATAGACTCAAAATGCACGCGCAGGGGCGCCTGGGTGGCTCAGTCGGTTAAGCGACTGCCTTCAGCTCAGGTCATGATCCTGGAGTCCCGGGATCGAGTCCCGCATTGGGCTCCCTGCTCGGCAGGGAGTCTGCTTCTCCCTCTGACCCTCCTCCCTCTCATGCTCTCTGTCTCTCATTCTCTCTGTCTCAAATAAATAAATAAAATCTTTAAAAAAAAAAAATGATTAAAAAAAAAAAAAAAAAAGCACACGCAGCCCCACCGCTCTGGGTTTCAGTCCCAGGGACTGCCCTAAAGTCTTTCCCTGATGCTACAGATGTAGTGAAAAGAAGCATCCAATGTTCATTGCATCAATGTCTGCAATAGCCAAACTGTGGAAAGAGCCAATATGCCCTTCAACAGACAAATGGATAAAGAAGATGTGGTCCATATATGCAATGGAATATTACTCAGCCATCAGAGAGGATGAACACCCAACTTTTTCATCAACATGGATGGGACTGGAGAAGATTATGCTAAATGAAATAAGTCAAGTAGAGAAAGTCAATTATCATATGGTTTCACTTATTTGTGGAACATAAGGAATAGCATGGAGGACATTAGGAGAAGGAAGGGAAAAATGAAGGGGATGAAATCGGAGGGGGCGGATGAACCATGAGAGTCTATGGACTCTGAGAAACAATCGGAGAATTTTAGATGGGATGGGAGTGGAGGGATGGGTTAGCCTGGTGATGGGTATTAAGATGGCCCATATTGGGGCACCTGGGTGGCTCAGTCGTTAAGCGTCTGCCTTCGGCTTGGGTCGCGATCCCAGGGTCCTGGGATCGAGCCCCGCATCGGGCTCCCTGTTCCTTGGGAAGCCTGCTTCTCCCTCTCCCGCTCCCCCTGCTTGTGTTCCCTCTCTCGCTGTGTCTCTCTCTGTCAAATAAATAAAAAAATAAAATCTTAAAAAAAAAAAAAAAAGATGGCCCATATTGCATGGAGCAAAACAATGGTGTTATACGAAAATATGAATGAATCATGGAACACTACGTCAAAAAGTAATGATGTACTGTATCGGGACTAACATAACATAATAAAATTAAACTTAAAAAAAAAGAGTCTCCAAATGGATGAAAGACCATAATGTGAGAGGAATCCATCAAAATCCTAAAGGAGAACACAGGCAGCAACCTCTTCAATCTTGGACATAGCAACTTCTTGCTAGACATGTCTCCAGAGGCAAGGGAAAGAAAAGCAAAAATGAACTATTGGGACTTCATCAAGATAAAAAGCTTTTGCACAGCAAAGGAAACAGTCAACAAAACCAAAAAACAACTGACAGAATGGGAGAAGATATTTGCAAATGACATGAGATAAAGGGCTAGTATCCAAAATCTATGAAGAACTTATCAAACTCAACACCCAAAGAACAAAAAATCCAATCAAGAAATGGGGCAGAAGACATGAACACACATTTCTGCAAAGAAGACATCCAAATGGCCAACAGAGACATGAAAAAGTGCTCAACATCACTCCGCATCAGGGAAATACAAATCAAAACACAATGAGATACCACCTCACACCAGTCAGAATGGCTAAAATTAACAAGTCAGGAAATGACAGATGTTGGCGAGGATGCGGAGAAAAGGGAACCCTCCTACACTGTTGGTAGGAATGCAAGCTGGCGCAGCCGCTCTGGAAAACAGTATGGAGGTTCCTCAAAAAGTTGAAAATAGAGCTACCATATGACCCAGCAATTCCACTACTGGGTATTTACCCCAAAGATACAAATGTAGTGATCCGAAGGGACACATACATCCCAATGTTTATAGCAGCAATGTCCACAATAGCCAAACTATGGAAAGAGCCTGATGTCCATCAACAGATGAATGGATAAGGAAGATGTATATATATATATACAATTGAATATTATGCAGCCATCAAAAAAAAAATGATATCTTGCCATTTGCCACGACATGTATGGAACTAGAGAGTAGCATGCTAAGTGAAATAAGTCAATCAGAGAAAAGTATCATATGATCTCACTGATATGAAGAATTTGAGAAACAAGGCAAAGGATCATAGGGGAAGGGAAGGAAAAATGAAACAAGATGAAACCAGAGAGGAAGACAAACCATAAAAGACTCTTAATCTCAGGAAACAAACTGAGGGTTGCTGGAGTGGGGGGTAGGAGGGATGGGGTGGCTGGGTAATGGACATTGGGGAGGATATGTGCTATGGTGAGCACTGTGAATTGTGTAAGACTGATGAATCACAGACCTGTACCCCTAAAGAAATAATACATTATATGTTCATTAAAAAAAAAAAGATTTTATTTATTTATTTGACAGAGAGACAGTACAAGCAGGAGAAGCTGCAGGCAGAGGGAGAAGCAGGCTCCTTGCTGGGTGAGGAGCCCAATGTGGGGCTCAATCCCAGGACTGCGGGATCATGACCTGAGCCAAAGGCAGATGCTTAACGAACTGAGCACCCAGGCATCCCTGAAGCATGTTTCTACAGACCCAGAACACCAGGGCCTGGGACCAAGCAAAGTGTGCAGTAAGTTATCATGTTTGGTTCCTCTCCTGACTGGCTGGTCCCATTTACAGATCCTTATCAGAAGCTGGGGACAAACCAAGCTTTGGTTAAAAGAGGGTCCTCACCATAAATGCCCACAGGGTCTAAGCCTAAAAGGTGAATCAGTGAAATGCTGGGTGAAAGACAATGGGGAATGGAGGGGATTCGGGCAAACGGAACAGCATAAGTCCTATTTCAGTGGCAGCTGATTCTCACCTCACCGAGAATGTAAATTCAGTACTATCACAGCCTTGCTTTTTAAGGAGAAAACAGAAATCCAGATTTTTATGTGCAAATGTCTGAGTTTTAAATGTCATCAGTGAATCTAAGTTTAAAAACAAAACAAAACCATGAGAAGCCAACACCCCAGTTCTGAAGGCCACATTCCGTCTGCAGGAGCCAGCAAATCCTGGCTTAGACATGGTGTGCCTTCAACAGGTGGGATTTAGCTCTGCGGGAAGGCTCAAGTCTCCGTGGTGACTAGGAGGAAAAGGGTGTGAGCTGGTGGAACAGTGGGCAGGGCTTTCTCTCCAAGGGTCTCCTTCCACCTGAGAAAAACCAGTCTAGCAGCTGCTGCCCAGCAGAAGCATGGCCATGCCTCTGAGGGCCTGGGGCCGAATCTCTGAAGTCGTTGCTGTCAGATCGCACTGCCCTGGCCCTGGGGGCCAGCACAGCCCAGCACACTGAGGGCCCCAGGTGACAGTGCTGCCGATACCTACCACATATGATGGGAGTAAATATGGCCATGCCTTGGTACTGCTGTTTAGAAATAGTTTTGTTCAAGATGAGCCCTCCAAAACTGGGGAGAGAGTAGAGGGCAAATGGTTAGTTTACCCTTGTAGGTGACCTGGTACACCTCTATACAAAATGTTTTATCAGCCTGCCTTCTCAGCTTAGCACTTTCCTGACCCCTACACAAAATATCTGTTGTAGCCAAGCTGGTCTCCCCAGTGTCCTCTGCACTATGCACGCTCACTTCTCCACCTGTATTCTGAGCCTCAGCTGTTCCAGAAGACCCATCAGATAATGTCAGCTCATTAAAAACAAATGACAAACTCCCCTCCAAGGCCACTTAGCTGGCTGGGCTCTGCCACGTGACCCATGCCCTGAAATGTAACTGAAATGCTAGTTTCCTGAGCAGAAAATGGAACCTGCATGAGTATCATCCCATGCTGCTTGTTCTCAGAGATGCCACAACAAGACCTCACTCCCACCAGCCCCTGTAGTTTAGCAAAGGCTGCCCTGCCGCTACATTCCTGAAAAAGTTAGACTGGTTTGTATAAGGAGCCCAGGAGCTTTCTGGAAGCAAAGACACCTAGTCCATAACCGCTTCTCCCTGAGATTCAAAGTTAGGAAAGCACCTCAGAAAAGACTGGGGTGGCCGCTGTCCAGGTCTACTAACAGAAAGGGCTCTGGAGGATCAGGCTTCAAGGGTAGAAGACCTGAGATGAGCTGAAGGGCCCAGGGCCAATAATCCCTCAGCCTCCCAAGTCCCACCGGCAGCCATGCTGTAGAATGGTGTTCACAGAGGCAGGTAAGGGGCTCCCTACAGCCTAAGCAGGGGTCCAGGCCAGTGAGAGCTCTGGCAGCACAGGAGTGGGAGACCCAGTGTCCTGCAGTGCCATGAGGGGGCAGGGAGCGGAGGCACTAGCGCACTCATCTGATGTTCCCAGGTTGGCTCTGCCTGGCTCTCTGGTGCTCCTGCAATTGTAAATAGGGCTGCTCTCAGAATAAGTAAGGCCTAAGGTTCCTGGTGAGAGGGAAACAGATGAAGAATAAAGAGGTATGACTCAACCAGCACCAGGACTTAGTGGAGGAGCCCACAGCAGCCATGAGTGCCACCCTCACTCCAGAGGTTCTGTGGCTCTCAGGCCACTCTCTCTGTCCACAGAAGCCAGGGGGTGGTATGTGAAGGGAGAAGTTGGCAGCAGCCCTCACTCATGCTCACCTGCTGATGACCATCGCTAGGATGATTGGGAACCACCCAAATTTCAGGATCTTCATGATGGGTGGGTTCTGCTTGGCAATGAGGACCCACACGGGGATCAGGGCCATGAAGCCAATACACACCAGCGGCGTCAGGTATCGATTGTCTGTGGGGAGAGGGAGGGGATGTGTGCCAGGGCACATGAGCATGGCCTGGTGGGCCATGGCCTGGGTTGCAAAGATGAGGGGTGGGCTGAGAGCTAAAAGCGCTAGAGGTCTGAGGAGACACTTCTGTCCCCAGCAGCTTAGAGTGGACCAACCTAACATACCTCTCAAAGAATTTACCATCTCATGAAGCAACTGGAAAAGCTCCTCTTTGTTCTCAATTCCTGTCACAGTCCCCTTCCCCTCTCTTTTTTGCTATTTTCCTGACATAAGTACCCTCTTCCATCTCCTTCCATCCCAACCTAATTATTATTATTAATGGTGGCATTTATAGGATTGTGACCATGGGCCAGCACCGTGCTCAGCACTTCCCAAGCACAAACTCATTTCATGTTCTTAACTACCCCTCAGATAGGCATATGAGAGACTACAGTGTGAAGAGGTGGCCCACGAGGACTCAAGCCAGCATGCAGAAATCAGGGCTAATGCCAGAGTTAACTAATGATGCCAATCTTGCTCCTGGCTGAGGCCAGCCCAAGGTGACCTCCTTGGCATCCATGGGTCTCAGGGCCCAGAACATGGCCAGCTTTGCAGCTACTCATGCCCGTGTCATTTTCTTGCACTGGTGTGAGCCATGAAAACACACCTGGATCTGGGACACCTGACTGTACCTGGGGTCCGGCCAGGGCCCAACACACACCGGCACCATTCCCACTCACACTCTTCCTGCTTATTCTCTGTGTGTCACCTTCCAAATGCACACAGAACAAGACACCAGATTTCTCTAGAACTGTCCTCTCACCCCCTAGCCCCACCTCCAAAGGGCAGGCTCAGGCTCAGGGTGGTGCATGCCCTTCTGCAGAGTGGGCCTCAGCCCTCAGAGGCGTGCAGGTGGGTCTGTGCTCCACACCCCCTTTCTCTGAGTAGCATCATTAGGAGAATCTCCCACTTGTCTTTCTCTGCACTAGGCAATTACAGTCCATTCCTTTCCTTGAGCAACTACAAGGAAGGGCGGGCCACAGGTGCCCATGGTGGGCTCCGGACAAAGTGCTCCATGGCAGAAGTGGCCAGCCTCTTCACCATCCCAGGAGATGAGGGACAAGCCCAGCAAGCTCTAAGCAAGTCTCAAAGACTCTGGAAGGCAGCAGCCTATAGGGGCACTACTTTTGGGACAGTTTTGCAGTCCAGTTGTTCTAGAATGACTTGGAAGCCCTGGCAGAGGTTCCACCTCATATTTTCCCACCACCATGATGAGCACATCCCCCGCATATGCTTGTCTTCCCAACTGCACTGACAGGTGACACAGTTGTCAGTGAAGATTTATCCAGTACACGCCAGGCCCAGTGAACCCCCCAAGCACACCCAAGGTGTAGTCACAGTCTAATTCAAGAGATGGACAGCCCAACACTACTCAACGGCTAGTAAGTCATGTGTTGAAACATGCACTATTTCAGTAGGGGTACAGCAGGGTGGAGAGGAAGGGTCTAGGGACACCTATAAAACTCCATTAACCAACCCATACACAAATTTTATTTTAAATTCAGTTTGGTTTAAAAGGAAAATTAGGTCATCTTATTAGATCTTCACTGCCACTTACAGGAACTTTGAGAATCTCCCAACCATTAAACATTGGTGGCAAGCATATCCCAGGGTGGCAAGGAGCCAGGCCCAAGGCTGAGAGGGAAAGGTTTCCAGGGCCTGAACACTCTAAGTGGCAGGTACTCTGTCAGTATGCTTCAGATGCCAGCATGGAGATGCTGGGTGATCTCTCATGGTCCTGGGCCCACGTTCCCATGGGGCAATGCTAAGCCGGAGCTTCGATGCAGCTGTGCCTTTGTCCAGGCATTTCCTCCAACGCTCCCCACTGTCCTCTTCACCATCCACACCACTCACTGATGCCACCTGCCCCGCCAGCACTCAGGGTTGTGACCATGCTCAGAATCCACACTTACTAGATCCAAACAACTGCGGGTGGCCAGCTTAGGTGGAAAGTAACAACTGTGACACTCAGAGGAGAGTGGCCAGCTGTGAAAACCCAGCAGGTGAGAACCATCTGGCAAGGGGGATGCTGCCTGGCCACACTGCCCAGGGCATGAGCAAACCTCGATACTCCCAGGACATACCTGGGGAGACCCCTGGTGGAGTCAGGGCCTCTAGCCGTGAGGGCCCGTCATACAAGATGTGTGCCTGTCTCCCTCGGCTGCTGACTAGGGCACCGGGCCACCTTCTGAGGAGCCCTGGGCTCCTCACACCTGTGGAGGGACGATATGCTGCTGCTGCCCATGGCTGTGACACTCCTCCTTGGGAGTCCCTTTCCGGGTGGTTTGTATGTGTCCAATGTGAAATGCCTTCCCATGGAGCTCTGTTAGCCTCCAGTCCTCCCTGGCCTCCTCGTGCACCCCTGTCCTAAGGGGAGACAGACAACGAATCTGTTGACCTGAGTGGTTGGGAAAGCTTCAGGTACCTGCTAGGGAACACCTCAAATCTGCTGAATGACCTCAGGCTTTGCCTTGGGAAAAGTAGGATTTCTGACCCCACGACAGACCCCATAAGTTCCTTTCTGTGTGAGCGGTGCCTGGTCTGAATGCTGTGGGCTGGGTGCGGATGTCAGACCCAGCCCTGCTCGTGCCCCGCCCCCCTTCCTGGGGCACCCCTACCTTTGTATTTGTAGAAGAAGCTGCTGACAAAAGCCAAAAGGGACAATGTAGTGAGGTCTCCCAGGCTGGCAGCAATAGGCGTGGCAATGTTGTCTGGGTTGAGCCCGAGCTTCCGAGCGCCAATCACTATACAAACCATCAGCATTCCTGCAGACAGGAGACAGAGGAGACTCAAAGCACAGGATGAGAAGGTGGCTGCAAGGCTGCTCAGTAATGCCTCGATCCACACAGACCAAGCCTGGAGCCAGGCTGCCCTGACACTCAGTTTCACTGCTATGCTGGAGCCTGAGAATCAGGCTGCGGCAGTGGGAGGTGGGGGGGCGGGGTGGACCCCTGTGACAGGCTGCGAAGAGCAGCCTGAAAGCTTTGAGGATACACTCAAACCCATGGGGAGATAGCAGGGAGTAGACTCCCGGGCTCCTCACCACCTGGGACTACAGACATGAAGCTCACAGCCCCTCAATGCAGGAAAGAGGACTCCAAAACTGCTCTGAATGACAGAGCCCCAGGGGCAGGGCACGGCCTCTTGTGTCCACTGGAGTTCCCAGGGAAACAGGTACCTTGGTGGGATTAGCAACGTGAGAGGTTTGTTAGGGGCAAAGCCTGTGAGGGGAGAGTTGCTGGGGGAAGGGGAACCAGGAGAGCCACAGGATGGTGCACAGGGTGCCCAGGGTGGGAGAGGGGGTGGGAAGGAAGGGGAAGCAGGTGCAGACTGCATAAAGTACTGTCAGTGGGGCTGCATCTCTGGGGAACAGGCCCATCTTGGGAGCCCAGCAGGGCCACCACTGGGTGCAGGCAGCAGGTGGCCTCTGCCAGTGGGGCTGGGGGTGGAGTTTCAGGTGCTGCACTGGAGACCTCCCCGGGGCCTAGTTTCCATCCTGACCCTGTGCTCTGAGGCGACAGTCGTGTGTCGTCCTCTAGCCCTCGGCCACTGCCTAGGACTTAAACCAACAGTGTCGCGTGTGGGTCTTTAAGAAGACACTTTGTATCTTGGCTATTGATGTTTTAACATTTTACCCAGTATTCATAACTCTAAACAAAATTATTATTCTCATCTCAATGCCATACTAACTGGCCACAGTTTGTGCCCTGTTTCATGACCAGGTCATAGCTGCTTTCTCTCTTTTGAAATGTCACTTCTAAGTGAAGTTGAGTCTGCACAGCTGGCAGTCTGGTAACAATCCCACAGGGACTACACAGACACCACCAGTTTGAGAGCACCTACTAAAATCCACCAGCACCACCACCACCACCACCACCTGGCTTTACAGCAGAGTCACGTCGAGGTCACATGAGGAGCCACCAGCAATGTTTCTGAAATCCTACACATCTCTGGACAACCCGGCTATGTCCATGCTGGTGAGCTCCGCTCCCCCTCGGGGCCTTAGTTTCCTCATCTGTAAAATGGAGAGCTAGAAATGGCATTCTCTACAGGGCCCCACAGGAACAGGACTGGCCTCCTGAATCATCTGATGGTGCTGTTTTCAGAAGAGACTTCATGTCAAGCATCTCCTGAGCTCTAATTCTCCAGAAGGTGTGGCGTACTCGCCCTGCTCTTCCCTTGGCCAGACTGGCACAGGTACCCGGCCAGGAGCACACTCCTACCCAGGGAAGTGCAGCTTGTGATCTGCTCCTGGTTTTCTACACTTTTATCCTCCCTCCTGATTATATACACTAGCACAGGAAGGAACAGAATCCACCAAATAGCCCGCCACATCATCTTACAAAACACTGAGCTCAAAGGGCTTTTATGAGCAGTCAGATGGAGGACAGAAGTATAAATGCAAATCCAATTTATAGTGTCCACTTATTCCTTCTTGTACTTGCACATGGTTTGCAAGAGACACTCAGACACGCAGTCCAGAAGAGAACCAGAATAAACCCCATTCATTTAGCAAACATTTAGGAGCTGAAATATGCCTATTTTAGGTAATGAAAATAACCATCAGGCGCTGTACTCACACAGTAAATGCTTGTCGGGCAGAGGAATGGACGGCGCACAAATAAGTGAACAAGAATTTGAAGTGAACAAACAGGACATGAAAAGAAAGCATGACTGTGAACAGGGGGCTACCCTAGACACTTGGCCCTTTGTGCTCGTGTACGGATGTCTCACTCTGTACCAGAATATCAACATCACAGAATGGTGCAGTCACTCCCCAGAGCATCCCCAGCACCGCAACAGCGCCTGGCATGCGGCACTCAGTAAGTACTGAGAAATGAGCGAATGGGTGACATTCTACAGTAACTGCCTGGCCACTGTCGTTGCCACTGTCATGCGTGAGCTCATGTCTGTCAATGCTTGTGTCTTCCCGCCTTCTGCAGACACATAGGAAGCATCTGATGTGTGGCAGGCAGTGTGACAGGAACAGAACTGGAGAAGCAGGGCCCCTCTCTGAGGTGCTGACATTTTAGCGAGGAGGTGAGACAGAAAATGAATGAAGAAAGTGGATGATTACAGATTTTCACAAGTGCTCTATAAGGAAAACAGGTGCACGGTGCAGAAGAGCGTGGTGACAGTTGGGGAGAAGGCCGGAGGGTGGAACATGTGCAAGGGCTGCCTGCAGAGATGAAATTGAAGTTAAAACCTGAGCCCTGCTCCCCACCATGACTGCAGACTCCAGATCCCACCACAAGCCCATATGCAAGCCATGCTTGAGAAATGTTTAAAGACTGACTGAATGAGTAAGTGAATGAATGAATGGATGGATGGATGAAGAAATGAATGTGTCTACTGAGCAAAGGCCAGTTCTTTATAAACAAGCAGAAGGAAGAGATGTGGAGTCAGCAGCTCGCTCTGGCACACACACCCTGCCTAAGAGTGGACTCATCATCCGCCCTGCCCACCTTTAAGGTGCGTCTTGGTAACCCAACAGGCTCTCCCCCAGCCCCTGGCAGGATATATGAGGCTCCACCATTAGTGCTCCCATCTTTCACATCTCAAGGAATTGCAACACAAAGAGCTGAGAGCAGAGCACTGAGGAAGGGGGGCGGAGAGAGCCAGGAGGGGGTGGTCACTGGGGTGGGGGCACAGCTCACCGAGGGCAAATGCGGCGAGGAAGGCGGTGATGACGCTGCTGGCACACAGCAACTCCACCTTTGCCACATCTAACTCCTCCCTAGACACAGCGCCCAGCAGCAGGGCGGCCATGGCAGCCAGGAGCCCCACGACGGTGGCCTGCACCTGTCAGGGCAGAAATCAGAAACGTGAGGAAAGGTGCCACTGACCACCATCACTCCTCCCTGCCTTTCACTCTGCCTCCTCTCTGACCTTGAGAGGTCAGTATGTCACTCACCACTACCTCTCGTCCCATACCCTAAAGTCTGCCAAGGGCCCCTCCAACCTGGGAAAAACAAAGACTAACACCTTGCTTCAATCCAACTCCCTTGAAAACTGTTGTTTTCCTGTTCTGCAACTAGCTCAAAGCTATCTTGCTTCAGGAAATCTTCATCTTCTACTCGGCCCTTAGCCAAAGGCCACCAGTCTCTTGCTTGTGGCTCCTCCCACAGCTCTAGGGAAAAGTGCTCTCTAGCTATACAGACAACCAATGTCCCCTGCAATGTGGAAACACTCCATGATCCACAGCTACACCTTGGAAGCCTCTGTGTACACTTTCCATCTCTCTCTCTGCCTTCCTTCCTTGGCACTTGCTCTGCATGCTGGTGCCCCCTTTCTCTACATTCTCCCCCATCCCAGCTGCAGTTCCCATTTCATCTTGGTGGGGACACATCTCTGCTGCTCACTCAGGCCAGTACATGATGTGTCCAGGTCTGAGTATCAATACTGGCACCTGTTATCAGTACAGTTGACCCTTCAACAACACAGGCATTGGGGCGCCGATGCAGGTGAAAACCTATGTATAACTTGCGACTCCCCCAGAACTTAACTACTAATAGCCTACTGTTGACCGGAAGCCTTACCCATAACATAAAGTCGATTAACACTATATTTTGTATATTATGTGTATTATATACTGTATCCTTACAGTTCAGTAAGCTAGAGAAGAGAAAATTAAAAAAATCATAAGGAATCATACATTGACAGTACTGTACTGAATCAACTCTGCATAGGGGCAGGCCTGCCCAGTTCAAACCTGTCTTGTCCAAGGGTCAACTGCAATTCAAATGTCTTTTATTTATTTACTTATTATTTTTTTATTCTTATGTTAATCCCCATACATTACATCATTAGTTTTAGATGTAGTGTTCCATGATTCATTGTTTGTGCATAACACCCAGTGCTCCATGCAGAATGTGCCCTCCTCAAATCCCACCACCAGGCTAACTCATCCTCCCACTCCCCTCCCCTCTAGAACCCTCAGTTTGTTTTTCAGAGTCCATCGTCTCTCATGGTTCGTCTACCACTCCGATTTCTCCCGCTTCATTCTTCCCCTCCTGCTACCTTCTTCTTCTTCTTTTTTTCTTTATATTGCATTATTTGTTTCAGAGGTACAGATCTGAGATTCAACAGTCTTGCACAATTCACAGCACTTACCAGAGCACATACCCTCCCCAGTGTCTATCACCCAGTCAGCCCATCTCTCCGATCCCACCCCCCCACTCCAGCAACCCTCATTTTGTTTCCTGCAATTAAGAATTCCTCATATCAGTGAGATCATATGATACATGTCTTTCTCTGTTTCACTTATTTCGCTCAACATAACACCCTCCAGTTCCATCCACGTCGTTGCAAATGGCAAGATCTCATTCCTTTTGATGGCTGCATAATATTCCATTGTGTACCACACAATGTGTACCACATCTTCTTTATCCATTCATCTGTCGATGGACATCTTGGCTCTTTCCACAGTTTGGCGAATGTGGACATTGCTGATATGAACATCGGGGTGCACGTACCCTTTTGGATCCCTACTTTTGTATCTTTGGGGTAAATACCCAGTAGTGGAATTGCTGGATCATATGGTAGCTCTATTTTCAACTTTTTGAGGAACCTCCATACTGTTTTCCAGAGTGGCTGCACCAGCTTGCATTCCTACCAACAGTGTAGGAGGGTTCCCCTTTCTCCGCATCCCCGCCAACATCTGTCGTTTCCTGACTTGTTAATTTTAGCCATTCTGACTGGTGTGAGGTGGTATCTCATTGAGGTTTTGATTTGGATTTCCCTGATGCCGAGCGATATTGAGCACTTTTTCATGTGTCTGTTGGCCATTTGGATGTCTTCTTTGGAAAAATGTCTGTTCATGTCTTCTGCCCATTTCTTGATTGGATTCTTTCTTCTTTGGGTGTTGAGTTTGATAAGTTCTTTATTGACTTTGGATACTAGCCCTCTATCTGATATGTCATTTGCAAATATCTTCTCCCATTCTGTCGGTTGTCTTTTGGTTTTGTTGACTGTTTTCTTTGCTTTGCAAAAGCTTTTTATCTTGATGAAGCCCCAATAGTTCATTTTTGCCCTTGCTTCCCTTGCCTTTGGTGTTGTTTCTAGGAAGAAGTTGCTTTGGCTGAGGTCAAAGAGGTTGCTGCCTGTGTTCTCCTTTAGGATTTTGATGGACTCCTGTCTCACATTGAGGTCTTTCAACCATTTGGAGTCTATTTTTGTGTGTGGTGTAAGGAAATGGTCCAGTTTCATTCTTCTGCATATGGCTATCCAATTTTCCCAACACCATTTGTTGAAGAGACTGTCTTTTTTCCATTGGACATTCGTTCCTGCTTTGTCAAAGATGAGTTGACCACAGAGTTGAGGGTCCAATTCTGGGCTCTCTATTCTGTTCCATTGATCTATGTGTCTGTTTTTGTGCCAGTGCCATACTGTCTTGATGATGACAGCTTTGTAATAGAGCTGGAAGTCCGGAATTGTGATGCCGCCAGCTTTGCTTTTCTTTTTCAACATTCCTCTGGCTATGCGGGGTCTTTTCTGGTTCCATACAAATTTTAGGATCATTTGTTCCATTTCTTTGAAAAACGTGGATGGTATTTTGATGGGGATTGCATTGAATGTGTAGATTGCTCTAGGTAGCATTGACATCTTCACAATATTTGTTCTTCAAATCCATGAGCATGGAATGTTTTTCCATTTCTTTGTGTCTTCTTCAATTTCTTTCATGAGTATTTTATAGTTTTCTGAGTACAGATCCTTTGCCTCTTTGGTTAGATTTATTCCTAGGTATCTTATGGTTTTGGGTGCAATTGTAAATGGGATCGACTCCTTAATTTCTCTTTCTTCTGTCTTGTTGTTGGTGTATAGGAATGCCACTGATTTCTGTGCATTGATTTTATATCCTGCCACTTTACTGAATTCCTGTATGAGTTCTAGCAGTTTTGGGGTGGAGTCCTTGGGGTTTTCCACATAAAGTATTATATCATCTGCAAAGAGTGAGAGTTTGACTTCTTCTTTTCCAACTTGGATGCTTTTGATTTCTTTTTGTTGTCTGCTGTGGCTAGGACTTCCAATACTATGTTGAATAGCAGTGGTGATAGTGGACATACCTGCCGCATTCCTGACCTTAGGGGGAAAGCTCTCCGTTTTTCCCCATTGAGAATGATATTCGCTGTAGGTTTTTCATAGATGGCTTTTATGATATTGAGGTATGTACCCTCTATGCCTATACTCTGAAGAGTTTTGATCAAGAAAGGATGCTGTACTTTGTCAAATGCTTTTTCTGCTTCTATTGAGAGGATTATATGATTCTTGTTCTTTCTTTTGTTAATGTATTGTATCACATTGATTGATTTGCGGATGTTGAACCAACCTTGCAGCCCAGGAATAAATCCCACTTGGTCGTGGTGAATAATCCTTTTAATGTACTGTTGGATCCTATTGGCTAGTATTTTGGTGAGAATTTTTGCATCCATGTTCATCAGGGATATTGGTCTGTAGTTCTCCTTTTTGATGGGGTCTTTGTCTGGTTTTGGAATCAAGGTAATGCTGGCCTCATAAAATGAGTTTGGAAGTTTTCCTTCCATTTCTATTTTTTGAAACAGTTTCAGAAGAATAGGTATTAATTCTTCTTGAAATGTTTGGTAGAATTCCCCTGGGAAGACATCTGGCCCTGGGCTTTTGTTTGTTGGGAGATTTTTGATGACTGCTTCAATTTCCTTAGTGGTTATAGGTCTGTTTAGGTTTTCTATTTCTTCCTGGTTCAGTTTTGGTAGTTCATACATCTCTAGGAATGCATCCATTTCTTCCAGGTTATCAAATTTGCTCGCATAGAGTTGCTCATAATATATTCTTATAATTGTTTGTATTTCTTTGGTGTTGGTTGTGATCTCTCCTCTTTCATTCATGATTTTGTTGATTTGGGTCATTTCTCTTCTCTTTTTGATCAGTCTGGCCAAGGGTTTATCAATCTTGTTAATTCTTTCAACGAACCAGCTCCTAGTTTCGTTGATCTGTTCTACTGTTCTTTTAGTTTCTATTTCATTGATTTCTGCTCTGATCTTTATTATTTCTCTTCTCCTGCTGGGTTTAGGCTTTATTTGCTGTTCTTTCTCCAGCTCCTTTAGGTGGAGGGTTAGGTTGTGTATTTGAGACCTTTCTTGTTTCTTGAGAAAGGCTTGTATTGCTATATACTTTCCTCTTAGGACTGCCTTTGCTGCATCCCAAAGATTTTGAATAGTTGTGTTTTCATTTTCATTGGTTTCCATGTATTTTTTAAATTCTTCTTTAATATCCTGGTTGACCCATTCATTCTGCAGTAGGATGCTCTTTAGCCTCCATGTATTTGAGTTCTTTCCGACTTTCCTCATGTGACTGAGTTCTAGTTTCAAAGCATTGTGGTCTGAAAACAAGCAGGGAATGATCCCAATCTTTTGGTACCAGTTGAGACCTGATTTATGACCTAGGATGTGATCTATTCTGGAGAATGTTCCATGGGCACTAGAGAAGAATGTGTATTCCGTTGCTTTGGGATGGAATGTTCTGAATATGTCTGTGAAGTCCATTTGGTCCAGTGTGTCATTTAAAGTCTTTATTTCCTTGTTGATCTTTTGCTTAGACGATCTGTCCATTTCAGTGAGGGGGGTGTTGAAGTCCCCCACTATTATTGTATTGTTGTCAATGTGTTTCTTTGCTTTTGTTATTAATTGCCTTATATAATTGGCTGCTCCCATGTTAGGGGCATAGATATTTACAATTGTTAGATCATCTTGTTGGATAGACCCTTTAAGTAGGATATAATGTCCTTCCTCATCTCTTATTACAGTCTTTGGTTTAAAATCTAATTTGTCTGATATAAGGATTGCCACCCCAGCTTTCTTTTCGTCTCCATTAGCATGGTAAATGGTTTTCCACCCCCTCACTTTCAATCTGGGGGTGTCTTTGGGTCTAAAATGAGTCTCTTGCAGACAGCATATCGATGGGTCTTGTTTTTTAATCCAGTCTGATAGCCTGTGTCTTTTGATTGGGGCATTTAGCCCATTTACATTCAGGGTAACTATTGAAAGATAGGAATTTAGTGCCATTGTATTGCCTGTAAGGTGACTGTTACCGCGTATTGTCTGTGTTCCTTTCTGGTCTATGTTGCTTTTAGGGTCTATCGTTGCCTAGAGGACCCCTTTCAAGATTTCTTGTAGGGCTGGTTTTGTGTTTGCAAATTCCTTTAGTTTTTGTTTGTCCTGGAAGCTTTTTATCTCTCCTTCAATTTTCAATGGCAGCCTAGCTGGATAGAGTATTCTTGGCTGCATATTTTTCTCATTTAGTGCTCTGAATATATCCTGCCAGTCCTTTCTGGCCTGCCAGGTCTCTGTGGATAGGTCTGTTGCCAATCTAATGTTTCTACCATTGTAGGTTACAGATCTCTTCTCCCGAGCTGCTTTCAGGATTTTCTCTGTCTGTGAGACTCGTAAGTTTTACTATTAGATGTCGGGGTGTTGACCTATTTTTATTGATTTTGAGAGGGATTCTCTGTGCCTCCTGGATTTTCATGCCTGTTTCCTTCCCCAAATTAGGGAAGTTCTCTGCTATAATTTGCTCCATTATACCTTCTGCCCCTCTCTCTCTTTCTTCTTCTGGGATCCCAATTATTCTAATGTTGTTTCGCCTTATGGTATCACTTATCTCTCGAATTCTGCCCTCGTGATCCAGTAGTTGTTTATCTTTTTCTCAGCTTCTTTATTTTCCATCATTTGGTCTTCTATATCACTGATTCTCTCTTCTGCCTCATTTATCCTAGCAGTTAGTGCCCCCATTTTGATTGCACCTCATTAATAGCCTTTTTTATTTCAACTTGGTTAGATTTTAGTTCTTTTACTTCTCCAGAAACGGTTTCTCTAATAACTTCCATAATTTTTTCAAGCCCAGCTAGTATCTTTAAAGTGATGATTCTGAACTCTAGATCTGACATCGTACTAATGTCCGTATTGAGTAGGTCCCTGGCAGTCGGTACTACCTCTTGTTGTTTTTGTTGAGGTGATTTTTTCCGTCTTGTTATTTTGTGCAGAGGAGAATAGATTAATGAGAGAACAAAATGCTAGCAGAGTAACAACGTCCCCAGAAAATATACTCTAAACAAATCAGAAAAGACCTGAAGCAGTGGAAAAAGAAACGGAAAGAGAGAAAAAAGAAAAAAAAAAGAAAAAGAAAAAGATAAAGATAAAAACAAACAAAACAAAACAACAACAACAAAAACCAGAATGTGATCAAATATGATCAGGTTGGTATACAGATCAGTGCCACACACTAGATTTGGGGTGAATTTTGGTCTTTTAGAAGGAAGTGCCTCCCAAAATTTTAAAGAAAAAAAACATATGTACAAAAATAAGGGTTGATATGATGAAGGGATGGAATATGACTGTAAAGATGGGAATTAAAAAATTTTATAAAAGGAATTGATAAGAAGTTGTTTGAAAAAAGAAAGAAGAGGATTTAAAAAAAGAGAAAAAAGAGAAAAAAAAGGGAGAGAATGTGATCAGGCAGGGGAGTAGAAAAAACCATATACTAGAGATTTAGGGTATATTTTAATCTGTTAGAATAAACTATCTCAAAATTTTAAAGAGAGAACAACTTATATATATATGCCAAAAATACGGGTAACTACTATGAAGGGATATAATATGACTCTAAAAATGAAAAATAAAAATGTTTTTTAAAAAAAGGGATTGATAAGACATTGGTTGAAAAAGAGAAAATGAAAAATTCAAAAAAAAAAAAAAGACAATTAAAAAAAATTAACTTTGAAAGACTAAAGAATCATGGTAAAAAAGCCATGAATTCTATGTGCAGTATTCCCCTAGTGCTGGAGTTCTGCCATTCTCATTGATCGGTAGACTTGGTCTTGGCTAGCTGTTCTCGCTGATCTTCTGGGGAGGGGCCTGTTGCCGTGGTTTCCAAATGTCTTTGCCAGAGGTGGAATTGCCCCGCCCTTGCCCCCTCCTGGCTAAGTAATCTGCTCGGGTTTGCTCTCCGGAGCTTTTGTTCCCTGCAAGCTTTCCGTACAGCTTTGGAGGCGGAGAGAGAAAATGGCGGCCTCCCAATCTCTGCCTCAGAGGAGCCGAGAATTCGGGCCCTGCTCCTCAGTGAGCCCCCAGAGAAAAGCCATCAGTCACTCCCGTCTCCCCAGTCTCCAGCCTCACTCCGTGCTCACCTGGCCTGTGACCGCGCGTTTCTATCTCCGGCGCCCGACCCCATGTGGAGTCTCCAAACCCAGCAGATCCCTGCGGTGCACTCCCTCGCCGCTCCCCCCAGGGGAGGAAGGTGAGTCTCCCCAGATCTGCCGCTTGTTGGGTCCCTGCTGGAGGAGCAGTGGTCCAACTGTGCCGCGGATCACAGTTTATGGCAACCCCAAGCTGAGAGCCTGCGCCTGGGCTCCGTCTCTGCAGCCGGCTTCCCTGCTCCGTTACCTGGGAGCTCTGCCACACTCAGGCACCCCCAGTCTTTCTGTGACCCCGAGGGTCCTGAGACCACACTGTCCCGGAGGGTTCCACCCCCCGCTTAGCCACCAGAGTGATGTCCCTCAGCGGAGCAGACTTTTAAAAGTTCCGATTTTGTGCTCCGTGGTTCTATCACTTGCCAGAAGCGGCCGACGGAGGCCCGTCCCCCGCCGTCTATCCTCCCGAATATTGCCTCGGATTCACTTCTCCACATGTCCTACCTTCCAGAAGGTAGTCGCTTTTCTGATGAGAGAGTTGTTGCTATTCTTTTCTTCGATCTCCTGTTGAGTTTGTAGGTGTTCAGAATGGTTTGATCCCTATCCAGCTGAATTCCTGAGAGGAGACGAAATCCAGGTCTCCTAATCCTCCGCCATCTTGCTCTGCCCCCCCCCGCAATTCAAATGTCTTAATGGAAATGGAAACATGTTGTGTTATTAAAGAAGGCTGAATAAACAGAGAACTCTACCATATACATGGATGAAAAATGCTCCCCAAGTTAACCTATATAATTCCAATCAAAGTCCCAACAAGCTTCTTCATGGCACTTGACAACTCATCTTAAGTTTTACAAAGATGAGTAGATGTGCAAGAGTAGCCAAGACAATTTGAGAAAAAAGATCAAGAGGGAGTTTTGGCACATTCATTATCAATACGTAGTTTTAAGGCTATAGTAATTAAAACATGGTGGTATTGGCAGAGAAATAGATCAGCAGGACAGACTGGTGTCCACGAATAGTATCATGAATACATGAAAATTTAATATATAAAAATTTAATAAAGATAAAGGTGGCATTTCAAATCACTATGGAATGGGTGGATACTGAATAAACAGGGAAAGGGAAAGCAGGCATCTGTCTGGGGGGAGAAAATATATTTCTACTTTATACGTGCACGCACATACACACACCACTAAACGTAAAACCTCAAGTGTAAAACAGGAGAAAAAATAGGAAAGTATGTTTCAGATTTTGGATTAGAAAGGGACTCCTTCTGAAGATATAACATGTAAAACCTATAAAGAAAAATAGAGATAAATGTATATAAATCTAAGTATGACTTCTATATGATACCAGAAATTCAAAGATGGAGAGACAGCTGGAGAAAATATCTCCAGCATTTACAACTAATAAAGCATTAGTGATCAAAATAAACCAATGGCAACTTTTTAAAAAAGACAACCTGAAAGAAAAATGTACAAGGGGTATGGATAGACAATTCACAGAAAAGGAAATACAAATGGCTAAGAAACACACAAAAATGTGACCAACTTCCTGAATAATCAGGAAAATTTAAAATAAAATCCCAATTTGATAGTAGGTATCTTATTTCTTTGTAACTGACGTTGGTCTTCCTCTACTAAAAGGTCAGTGCCATCTCTGCAGGTGCTCAGCCCTCATCTGTGCTCATCCAATCAATGAATGAATTAATGGATGGGCTACACTATTTTTATCCATCAGACTAGGTAAAATTAAAATTTAAAAGGCTGATAACATAAGATACACATTGACAAATATATGGGGAAATGGTTCTCTTATACATAGATGTGATAAAATTGGTACAAGATTTTGGGGGGAGGGGATTTGGTTACTTTATGATCTAGCATTTTCCCAGGAAAACATTTGCACATGTGAACAAAGAGCCACAAAATAATGATAATGATGACTGGAGCTGATATTTACTGACTGCTTACTATCTGCTATTCTCAGTGATTTTCATTCATTAAGTCACTCTTAAAAGTACAAGTAACAGAATTATATGTCCAGTACAATACTTCTAATGCTTAAAAAACACAGAAAGTTGTATCATATATTGTCTATGGACACATACATATATACGGTAAATGCAGAAAGTCACTCAGAAGAATACTTTCAATGATGGTGAGGTTACGGAGAAACTAATAACAGAAATATTAATACTGGTCTATTATTTGATACTAAGAATTCAAGTATTTTATAATCCTTTTGGAAAAAAATCTAGAACTTCAAATTGTTCATACCTTGTGAACTTGTGGGAACTTCTCTTAAGAAATTCATGCAAAATAATTTCATTGCAGTATAATTTATCGAGTAGAAGCATACGAACAATTGCAGGTGCACCCTCGTGGTGACAGTCGAAAGAAGTGGAACAGGGCTGAGTCCGGACAGTTGGCATTGGCCCTGCCAGACCAGCTCTTCGTGCTTAGGCCCTACCAGTTGTTAAATATCACTCTTGGGTATATTTGTGATAGAATACAAAGTTATTAAAAAGTTCAATTATGAAATTTATTGTACCACTTGTGATTCAATGTTAAGCTTTTTAAAAAAGGGGGAAGACAAAATTATATCCATGCTATGATCAGGACAATGTGCCAAGCCAGTGCCTGGCCCAGAGTGGGATTTAATGAATGTTTGTTGAGAATCAATCATGTGGAAATGTGCATGCATATGGACAAGGACTTGGTGACTTGTAGCTGAGGCATTTATAACCTGTCCCTTGTCAGACCCTCTGTTAAGGGCATCACGAGCATCTCATTTAATCTCCGAAGCTCTTCAGCCACAGGCTGGGGTCCTGGCCCACGTGACTCAGCTCAAGTGGGGAAGGCAGACATCTAAACACAGAATTGCAACCAGGGCAGCCCCAGCAGCTTGTACAAGCCCTGGAGAGTACCCAGTATCGGGCTGGAACTGACTGGAGCTTCACTGCCAGAAGAACAGGAAGAGAAAGGACATTCCAAGGAGAGACAACCACATATGCAAAGGCAGCAGGGATGGGGGACAGGAGACTGCAGGAGGACAGGACCAGGCCAGGAGTGCCTCTGGGCTAGGCCCACACTTGGACAAGAAGAAGCAACAAAGGAGCCTCAGGAGGAGGACACCTGATCAGCTTTAGGATTTAGAAAAGGTCACTCAGGTGGCCATGCAGAGGAGAGCCGGACAGGAAGAAGCCTGGGGCAGTGAGAACAGTGAAAAGGTTTGTAGTCAGTGAGGTCAGAGACCAAGAGGCCAAGGCAAGGAGAAGGAGAAGCAGGTCTGATTCAAGCACAGCTCAGACGCAGACTCCTCAGGACTGGACAGAAGGATAAGGAGCAGAGAAATGCTGAGGGTGACTTGGTCTCTAGCTTGATTAATGGGCACAGCGACCATGATTGGGAGATTACCACATGCTGGCCAGGTGTCACAGTCTTCCATGATTGAAACCTCACAGTGGCCCATCTTATAGATAAGGTGAGGTGACTTGCCCAAGGGCCTCCAGCTGGTCGACCCCCAGAATGAGCTTTCAACCATCAAACTCTTCAGGGTTGGGGACTTCACAAGAAGTGAGTGTGAGGAGAGGAGGTGATGAGGCCAGATCTGTCTAAGCTGTTTTGTGGATGCTTCTGCTACAGGTAGATGGAGATACCCAGTGGAGAGCTAGAAACAGGGGCTCTGGAACCCAGGTGAGAGGTAAAGTGGGTATCCTCCTAATTTGATGGACAGCGAGATACAGCTAAGCAAGTCTTGTGTGTCCTGCCCAAGGCCACCCAGTTGATAAATGATAGCCTTAACTCCAGGCCTGTCTGATCTCAGAGTCCAGGTTCTTTGTGTGGCCATAGGCTGCCCCCAGCCAGAGAAGCCCAGAAGGTTCTGGATGAAGCCATTCCTCTCTTACCTTGAGCCAATCTCTTCCCAGTCTCCCCCCTGCCCTGGGCCTCCTGACTCTAATACTCTGAGACTGCTAGAATGAGAACTTAGCCCAACTAGGGTCTGCTAGAAGGAGGTACAAATTTGAACGAGCATGAAGCATTTAAGAGACAAAGGCATGGGGAGCGGGGTGTCCTGCAAAGTCTGAGAAAGAACAGGCTGAGAGGCAGGAGTGCAGCCACGGAGGAACCTCCAGGCAGGAAGAATAGCAGATGCTCCAGAGAGAATAAGTAGGATCACATGTATGAGGCAATCAGAGGGTATACCAATTAGGATGTCAGTGACCTTGGCAAGCACAGCTTGGGTCAAGATAGTGGGAAGAGAAAGCTGTTAGCTCTGTCCAGGCTATGAGAAAGAGGAGCGAGCAAGTACAGGTGAATCTTTCAATAAGCCTGTCTTGAAAAGAAGGGGCTGGGGGCACTGGAGGGACCTTGGGTTCTCAGAAGAGGCATCTACTTTCAGGTGGACATGCTGGTACCCTATAGCTGGGCTGAGCCTCCAGCTGCCACATGGGTGTGGTCTGGTGGGTGCAGGGTGGATGGGTGGCCCATTCCCCAAGTTCAGTCCGGAGTGCACGGACAAAGGCTTACTTAGTCTTCAGCCTTCCTACATGGAGCAGGCCTGGCTGCAGATTCAAAAGCAGGGAGGAGATTCAGCAATCGGACAAAGGGGAGAGTCACCTGAATGAGGGCGAGGTTACTGCTGATAACTCTGTGCTGCTCCTGGGGATCATCAATTTGTCCAGTGTTGGCCTAGGATGGAGAGAAAAGGACAAAGGGTAAGTCTGGGTAGTCACAAAGCCAGGCCAAGCCTTCCTGGAAAAGGCAGTCTCTCAGGACAGAAATCAGCAAATATCATTTCATTGATATTAGAACAAATTATTCTGCCCAGCTTTCAAAACTGACTGGGGGTGGGAAAGGTAAGGACCCAAGTCCCTTTGAGAATAAGATAGTGTCATAGACCATCTCGCCCATGCTCAAGTATGCAAGCACACAGAGATAAGTGTCACCAACAGTTTCAGGGCCACCTGACTCTAAAGCTCAGCCACAGGTAGCATGGGAAGGACTTCTGCTGGGAAGCTGGCTTATGCCCTCAGCCAAGTCTTTGGCCACATTGTCCCCAACACCTACAATTCCCTACTCCCCCTTCCAGCAAGTCACATCTCAGATGACCACTAACCACCCCAACATGACCTCTGCAAATCATCCTATTTAAGAAATGCTCAAGTCCTTCTCTTAGGATAAAAAAACAAGATCTGAAATACGATTTTCTCCTTTAAAAATGGTAATCAGCTCCTAACTTCATAGTACTTACCAGCAAAATTCAAGATGTAGATAAATGAATTTTCCTAGCTCCTTTGTACTGAGTTCATTAAGTTCCTGAACTCCAAGGGAAAAATGGAGTTACTTTTCATGAACAAATAAGGGGATGCTTTTGTTTTCAGCATGATGGACACCTTGGATGCAGCATGGAACAATCATACAGCCCCAGGTGACTCCTTCACAAAGGTAGACCAATACCCACCACAGGGGTGCTCACAGGGACAAGGAACTAAGGTGGAGCAGAACACAGTTACACAGCCTGCCGTGTGCCGAACATGTGAGGCCAACAGGCTCGCTGCCCCCCTCTGCTCCTCAATGCACTAGGTGCTCACTGGACTCAATGTGCCCATTTGCTGTTTCCTATCGATCAGCCAACTCGAACCCTGGTACTCATCAGATAAGGGATGCTACTGGCCCATGACCCCTGAGTATGAATTAGAAAGGCATTCCTTCCTCAAGATGTTGTATTTCCAAGCTGAGGCTGAACAGGAAAGGGAGTGATGCCAAGAGGTGCAGGAGGAGGAGTGGTTGGCTGGGGAGCTTGAAGACCTTGTAGAGATGAGGGAGGAAGAGCACCAGAGGGAAGGAAGCTGTGAGAAGAGGTGGGATGTGAAGTCAATAGGATTTTGGAGCATGTGTAAGCATTTCAAGGCCAGGTGAGGGGCCTGGGCAGCTGAGGTGGAATGGAGGTGAAGGTCACTGGAGATGAAGCCATCCAAAAATTGGGAGGCTTGGGTTTGGGATGAGTTATCCATGTGGATGCTGAGACAGTGTAGGATGGTGGTGGGATGTGGTGTGAAGATCATTAAATGGTCCATTTTCCAGAACTGTGGGGAACTGACCAAGCCAGTAAAAGCAGGAAGGAAGCAGGGCAAGATGGTGAGGACCAGGCCAGCAGGATAAACCACGGGGAGCGGGCCCTGGGGGACAGGTCTCCATCAAGGTAGATGGACACTGCTCTACTCTGGAATGGCAGTCCCAGAGATGTAGGGTAAGAGCTGGAGCAACAAAGCCAGTCCAAGGACAGGCTCGGTGGCTTTTTGCTAAGAATGCAAAAAGAAAATCAGTGGGAAGGTGGGGCATCTATTATAGAGACCAACTTAGAGAGTCCCGCATTGGGCTCCCTGCTCAGCAGGCAGTATGCCTCTCCCTCTGCCTCCCCCTCTGGCTTGTGCTCTCTCTCTTGCTTTCTCTCTCTCTCTCAAATAAATCAAATCTAAAAAAAAAGGTAATGAGACTTCCATCAGTAACACTGAACACAAGAAGACACTGAAAACATACCTCAGTACTGAAGAAAAATAACTATGAACCATGCATTCTGTAAGCAACCAGGCTGGCATTCAAATGTGAGGATAAATGTGAGCATTGTCAAGCTGCAAATGTCCAAAAAATTTACTTCCAACAAATCTTACCTGAAACAATTACTGGAAGATACACTAAAATAAAACGAAAAGTAAATTTAAAAGAAAACTGAGGGAGAGTGATATCGGCAAGATGGAAGACTAGGAATCTCCAGGCCCTCTTCCTCCAGTGAAAACCCAAAGTAAACAACAGACTGACCAAATCAGCTTTGTGAGAGCTCTAGAAACCAGTTATGGATCTGTAAAACCAAGTGAGTGCTCAACCAAGAAAAACCCACACTCAAAACAGTAGACAATTCCAGTGTTTTTGCTTATCCTTGCCCTACTCCCTCCTCTGTGCAGAGCAGTACAGTGTTTGGTCCCTCTCTCAGGACAGAAGGGAAACAGTGGAATAGTCTGCACCATCCTGACTTGCCTGGAGGCTACCTGAGGGACTGGTTTCTGTTTTGCCTGACTTGGAGATCAGAAGGAGGAAGGTGGCATAGTTTGGATATCAGTTTGCAGGCCACCAAAACCAGTGGTGGGTGCTGGATACAGTACAGCTGCAGGGAACTGCAGGCCCATGCGTGCCTCGAGCAAAGAATATGGTCAGAAGAATACAATAATACATCTAAGGCCCCAAGGAGAAGCAGGGCTGGGCTTTTTAGGTTAATCAAGACATTTAATAGCAGCCCTGTGTGCTGAATTGGGTTGGAAAGAAAAGCACATACACAGGTCCAAGGAAGACACATGCCCAGAAAAGGCCTGAAAAGACTTTAAGCCTTCACACCAGACTGATAAGTGACGGTCTTCCTCTTTATGGAGCAAGTCTGCAAAGACTGGGAGAGGTGGCTATTTTCTCAAATGCCATTTTTTTGACAAAAGATGACAAGGCAGACAAAGAAACAGGGAAACATGATCCATTCAAAGGAACAAGATAAGTCTACAAAAACTAACCCTAAAGAAACAAAAGATTTGGACTTATCTGAAAAAGCCTTTAAAACAACTGTGTTAAATATGCTCAATGAACTAAAGGAGGACATGGATAGAGATCTAAAGGGAATCGGGAAAAGATGTATGAGCAAAATGAGAACATCTACAAAGAGCAATTATGCACCTCTAGGAATGCATCCATTTCTTCCAGATTATCAAATTTGCTGGCATATAGTCGCTCATAATGTGTTCTTATGATTGTTTGTATTTCTTTGGTGTTGGGTTGTGATCTCTCCTCTTTCATTCATGATTTTATTTGAGTCATTTCGCTTTTCTTTTAGATAAGTCTGGCCAGGGGTTTATCAGTCTTCTTAATTCTTTCAAAGAACCAGCTCCTAGTTTCATTGATCTGTTCTACTGTTCTTTTGGTCTCTATTTCATTGATTTCTGCTCTAATCTTTATTATTTCTCTTCTCCTGCTGGGTTTAGGCTTTATTTGCTGTTCTTTCTCCAGCTCCTTTAGGTGTAGGGTTAGGTTGTGTATTTGAGACCTTTCTTGTTTCTTGAGAAAGGCTTGTAGTGCTATACACTTTCCTCTTAGGACTGCCTTTGCTGCATCCCAAAGATTTGGAAGAGTTATGTTTTCATTTTCATTTCTTTCCATGAATTTTTTAAATTCTTTAATTTCCTGGTTGACCCATTCATTCTTCAGTAAGATGTTCTTTAGCCTCCATGTATTTGAGTTCTTTCTGACTTTCCTCTTGTGATTGAGTTCTAGTTTCAAAGCATTGTGGTCTGAAAATAGGCAGGGAATAATCCCAATCTTTTGGTACCAGCTGAGACCTGATTTGTGGCCTAAAATGTGATCTATTCTGGAGAATGTTCCATGGGCACTAGAGAAGAATGTGTATTCCGTTGCTTTGGGATGGAATATTCTGAATATATCTGTGAAGTCCATTTGGTCCAGTGTGTCATTTAAAGTCCTTATTTCCGGAAAGGAAATATGGCGGAGGAGTAGGGGACCCTATTTCAACTAGTCCCTGGAATTGAGCTGGATATCTACCAGACCACTCTGAGCACCCATGAAACAAGCCGGAGATGTAAGAAGATCTGGATCTTTATAAGCAGAATATTGCAGGCGGTTGGTTCTGAGGTATGAAGCGGGGAGCCCTGATTCTGTGGGCAGCCCTGATTCCGCAGGCAGATATAGGACGATAAATGGCAGTGGGAGGGTACCTGGCCGTAGGGATCCTACATCGCCGATGAGCGACAGCCTCGCGTGCTGCGGACGGGGCACACACTCGCAGACCGGTAGCGGCAGGGAAAGGATGTTAGGGCAGCCCCTGGGGCGGAAACCCGGATTGGGGTTGCACAGGCGAACTGAGAGTGGCTGATGGTTTTATTAGCACAAAGGACAGAGACGTGCCCCGACCTGGAGGCAGGACTGGGGGCACTGTGAAGGGGCGCACAACCCAGGATGCTGCAGTTTATACCGGCACGGACAGAAACGGAGACAGAGTGGCCTGGAGAGCTCAATGAAGAACAGACTGTGCTCTCTCTGCTCTGAGGCAGAGGGTTGGAAACGGTCTCTTTTGCTCTGACTCGGAGAAGAGATGCAGGAAGCCACAGGGAAAGCCGCCAGAGAACAAAAGCCCCCAAAATTGATTCCCATCGAGCCCATCCTCTGCCACGGGGGGCAGAGCAACTCCACCCGAACAGGGTTGCCTGAGTAACAGCGCGGCAGGCCCCTCCCCCAGAAGACAGGCTGGGAAAACAAGACACCAGCAAACCTAAGGTCCCAAGAAAACAGGTGCATCTTGCTTGGGTTCTGGTCAATAATTTGGACTCTATACATTCCCTCAACCACCCGTCAACAGAATGACTAGGAGGAGGAACCCCCAAAATAGGAAAGACTCAGAGATTATGACTTATGCCTCAGATTTACAAATGGATGCAGATATAACCAAGATGTCGGAGATGGAATTCAGGCTAGCAATTGTGAAGACAATGGCTAAAATGGAAAAATCAATTAATGGCAACATAGAGTTTCTAAGCGCAGAAATGAAAGCTGAATTGGGAGAATTTAAAAATGCTATTAATGAGATCCAATGCAATCTAGATAATCTAACAGCTAGGGTAAGTGAAGCAGAAGAACAA